CTTTTTCCCCTCTCCTTTCTCTCTTTTTCTTTTGTTTAGGTTGATTGGTTAACAAATGATAGATAAAGCCAACTGCTTGAAGGATACATTGTTGTGATGAATTTATATCACTAGATAGTAAAGTATTCCGGAGACCATGTTTCCTATTGAGCACCAAGCACGCTATGGGTGTTTTGTAAATATAAAATGAAAAATGCTAAATACCTATCTCTCAAAGGGTTTCATCTTGATTCCTTATATCTCTCTCAATGTTATTACAGTTTAGACAAGAGAAGTTTCAGGAAGGCCATACCCAACCCTCCCCTATATGTTTAAATAGTCTTTACAAAACCTTTTCAAAAATATTTTTTTCTTTAAACCTAAATCAGTTAGGATTGGTTTATGCACATTTTGTCCCTGCTTTAAGTTTGAGCGTCATTGTTCTAATTAATGCAACAGATTAGCTGCATCAAACCCCACCATATAGATAGGTACCTATTAGTTTTTTATGGGGGAAAAAAAAAGCAAAGAGCCTTTATCACAAATTAAAGGCACAACTATTTTACGCCATCCGTTACCAACTTAATGATAACATGGAACACTGAATGGTTATATAATTGTTTTATATAGATTTTTCTTTTTATAAGTTATTCTCTTAGTCTTTCTAACATATATACAATATACATATATTTATAGATACCCCTGATAAATCTTGTTTTAAAGGTAAAACATCAACTCCTTTTAGCTTTATAGTGAATTTCAAAGGCAGTCAGTATTACCTTAACACTCCACTGGAGAAATGATGTCCTAGTGAATCTAACCACTAATTTTTTTTTAACGCTGTGATCACTGGTGTGCAAGTAACTCAGATTCATTTATTTTGTTCTTAATAGTTAAATATATATTAGTTGCTTATATCATGTCAGTAGGAAGTATTAAAGAAAGAATCAGAAACAATAAGGTCACAACAATTGCTAATGTTTAAGTCTAGAATCATACTTCAAACAGAAACCTTTGAGACAATCCTACTGGTATGATATAAAGTGAATACTGAAGGATTGCAATGTTCGTGTTTTTTATTAGCTATGTACTAACATGAAAGATCTTTTCTTTTCCTTCTCATCTCAGATTGATTGTTCCTTGTCTTTGAAACAGCATAGTCATACTGATTTCTGTCTACAAAACCTATGTCGGTTTCCAAATGCAAGCTCATTGTAAGCACTTCTATGTTTCCAGGAATACTTGCTTGAGGTGGGAAACTAGTATATGGTAAGAAATTAATTATCTTTCTTCATGTCTCCCACCCCTGACATAGCCCCGTTCTAACAAGCTAGATGTGAAGGGAGAAGGCTGATTAGAGACATCTCCATGACACTGTACAGTGTCTATTTAATTTTTCTTATTACTGATTACTGGTATGAAATAGATCATTCTAACTTTTGCAATTCTTTAAAACCTAATGGCATAGAGTGAGACACAGCACTATTTGTTTTACAAGACATCTACTGTATCTACTTTTGTTGGGATAAATACCCAATAACTGCTGTCATAGCCAGAGGACCAGCACGGGTTCTACTATTCACAGTGTTGCTTTTGTTTTTGTTTGTGTGTTTTTTATTTGTTCTTGTTTTTTAGCTTTTTCATATTATTTTAATCTACAGAGTAAATTACTATATACACACTGGAACCAGTTAATGCCCTTAGACAATTATAGTTGTTTCATAAAGCAGAAAAGACAATGCAGGGGAAAATTAGTGCCCAAAAGCACAGTCACAAAGGCTTTGAAAGTTCTAGATACCACTACAAGTCAATGCTGGAGATCACATCTAAAACAATCAGTGATTCAAGAGGAATGCTTTAATTTGGAGAAAATACCACTCCCTCCCTCCCACCCTTAAGTACCCCCTCCCTTTTTTAAATAATCTTTTCAATTCACTATCAAAAGTCCTGGCTCTTCAGATATGCTTTAAACTATAAATAAACACTGCATAGTTCTCTTTTGTTTTGTTTTGTGAAAAATTATTGCAGTACAACGACTCCAGTTTGGAATTCAGTAAGGAGCAAACAGTACTGGAGTATGGGCGGTCCGAATGGGTCCTGGCGCTGGTCGCAGAAGTGCAGGAGGCAGGGCAGAGGTCTGGAACAGAGTGGCTGCAGGAGCAGTTCGAAGACTGAAGGGAGAATTCACTGCCACAGCAGCAGCGGCAGCTGCGGCAGCGAGGGGGTTGGGAAGAATTCGGGGAGCCAATGGCTTTGAAGGTTCTTTTGAAAACACTAATTTTACCTGTAAGGAAAAGTTAAAAGAAGGATGAGAATAAGAGTTTGGCAATCTGTAGTCATTAGTCAAAATGATAAGTAGGCTTAGGAATACAACGGAGTGATAGACTGATGGTTCCTGTTTGTAACCTTAGTTATTCAGGAGGCTGAGATTAGAGGATCACGGCTAGAGACCCAGCCTGGGCAGACAAATGAAAAAGATTCTTCTTCAGTTAATCCCAGAAAGCTAGAAGTGGAGGTGTAGCTAACGTGGTAGAAGGTCAGCCTTGAGTAACTTAATTGAGAGCACTAGGCTCTTAGTTCAAGCTCCACTACTGGCATACTCATGTGCACGCATGTGCATGCACGCACACAAAGCAGTGAACAGCTACAATCATAAAGTCAAACTGCTGAACTGACAATAAAGAAAATAAAAAGCCTTGAACAACATTTTTCCCTTTGGAAGAGCGGGAGAGCTGAAAATGGCCAACCAGCAATGCTAAAGAATCCTCTAGAGAAGGACCTGGGAATCTTATTTAAGTTGAAAATTATACTTGCTGAGGAAAGTATTCACCTTTTTTTTTTTTTAAGTAGTGGCTTATGCCTGTAATCCTAACTACTCAGGAGGCTGAAATGTGAGGACTGTGTTTCAAAGACAGCCCAGTCAGGAAAGTTCTTGAGACTCTTATCTCCAATTAATCACCAAAAGGCTGGAACTGGAACTGTGTCTCAAGTGGTAGAGCAATAGCCTTGA